AGCTTTCTCAATATATGTGGTGAGCTTTCTCTATATTTTTGGTGAGCTTTCTCAAAATATGTGGTGAGCTTTGTAGTTAAGTTTGGTGAGCTTTGTAGTTAAGTTTGGTGAGCTTTGTAGTAATGTTTGGTGAGCTTTCTCAATATATGTGGTGAGCTTTCTCTATATTTTTGGTGAGCTTTCTCAAAATATGTGGTGAGCTTTGTAGTTAAGTTTGGTGAGCTTTGTAGTAATGTTTGATGAGCTATATGTAGTGGCAAAAAATATAATTTTTAAGGAAAAATTTTAATAATAAAAGAAATAGACATGTATGTTTATGTCGGGTTGGCTCCCTTCGGAAACACCAATTTTATACCTCCTCAATGATCAACCACATTATCAAGCAATATTTAACCTACTTAAGACATGAGTTATCATCCTTTTAGTCGGTTTTTTCGCCTTTGAGCTTATTTACAGCGGGGAGATCCCCGTTTCGACGCACGAAAACGTGAAACCGCTTCTGCGGGACAACTTTAACGTTAAAATCCCCTCCTCGTCCTTGTCTCAGCCCTCACTCTCTTGGAAATTACTTTCCAGGTTTAAGACGAAGACGAAGATCGTTGCACATTTTAGCAATTGCATATAAAGACAATGTAATAGTTGCAAAACCAAAAACATAATTAATTGTAACCATTGATCAACTAAAACCAGAGATTCAAAATGACTGCTTGACACCTACAGAAGCAAATAACCCAAAAATGTTAACCTGGTCCTATATCCACACAAATCATATCCTGTCTTCTCAACACCATAATAACCCAAAATCAGATTGCTAAAACTTAATCAAATCAGACATTAGGCCAAAAATCAAACTGTCACTGTATGTGTCCATGTGCGACACATGTCCTAGTTGATAAACTTGCCATATTCTGCCACTTTCCGTTTCACTTGTACGGCAAGTTGATTATGATCAGAGGTGAGCATTTCGTAGCAATATCGGACACAGAGCATTCATAATCCATTTACCTACCAAGAAATTTAAAATTCAATAAAAATAAGATAAAACGTGTGATAATTTTATCTTATTTCACCTTATAAACAAAAAAGACATAAGACTTACATCATTTTTGTTCAAATCCATCTTCCACGTATTCAAATTCCCCTTGAAAGTTTCCAATTGCCTCATGGCTATGACACCAACACCCATACCTTCCATGTTCCCATAACATGCCTTCTTTGTTATTTCAAAAGGAAATTTGGAAATTTTACTTTCTTTTTGCTCAAGTTGTTTTTCATTGAAAAACTCGCACATTCCCTTTTTCTGGAAGTGAGTGAGACTATATTAGATTAAGTTGAAGAATAAACAATGAAGTTCAAGTTTAAGTCAGTATTACCACGCTTTAAAAAGAATCTTACCAAACATTCAACACATGTATCATACACCTTAGTTTTATCTTCAATTGAATCAATGATGGTTATCTTCTCCTTTTTCATGTTAAAACAGACTATATAAACATCATCCTTGTCTGTTTCATCAGCAACCAAGAAGAATACCTGCAGTAAAATAAGAACAGAAATTATATCAGAATAAATGAATACATTAGATACAAAACACTAAAAACAAACCATTCCATGTAGCTGACCAAATCTGTAGTACACATATCAATGCCGCCATAAAACTGTTGTTCTACCAATTCTCTGTCAGCGACTTCACAAAAGGTTTCATGAGCATCGTCATATAAACTGATCTTTACAAACTCAGCCTACTTGAATAATGTAAAGTTTATGTCAGTGTCACATTTGAATATCTCCACTATTATACACTAAAGTACATGAATAATGTAAAGAGGTTACATACAAAAGGATTCGTGCTAAGGAAAACTCGATAGACATCTGACTTGCTTCGATGCTTTTCCTCGGCATTCAAGAATCGACACCAAATCTGTAAAATAAGTGACGAGACAGACCCTTCGGAAAAGGATATTAAATCGCTTCGCTTCATTTCACAAAACATGTCTTTGTACAAAACTTCCCTGTAATTAAAATTATGGAAAATAGGATAAATAAATATCAAAAAAATCTTAATAATAATAATTAAATTAAGTAACTTTTTTACAAAACAACGTGAAAAGGTAACACTTACCCAAGTAAAAGAGATTTGTTGAATACGTAGTCCGTGAGAACCTTCTCGGCACGGCTCAACCGTGAGAGTGCTTCCATGTTTCTTATCCAAAAAGGAGAACATAAGGCGCGTGCAAATTCTTT